GGATTTAAAAAAGATTCCCAGGTGATTCTAATGTGCAGCCAAGGTTGAGAACCACTGCTTAAAAGGCTAGTTTCAGCTTTGCTAAATCAGAGAATCTATCTATCTGTCTATCTGTCTATTTCTCATCTATCAATCTATCATCTATCTATCTATCTATCTACCTACCTATCTATCTATCTATCATCTTTGTCATTGTCCAAGGAGGTTATCAGAGTTCAAGGATTTAGTCACACTCAAAAGAGACTGGTTATAAACTGGGTGGCCATTTTAATGTGTGAGAGGTCAGCTATTACCTGGAAGCTAATAGATGTTAATCATTTGGATAGGACATTCCTTTATCACATGAACTCAAGCTCATGTTCACATAAGAGATGAGATTAGACATGAAAATGTTCATTAATGAACTGAGAATTAAAGGAGGGGAAGCTGATCATTTCAGGGAAACTTCCATGCAGTTCCCATAGTTGGATGGGTTAGTCTTCTCCGTTGTGGGAAAGGCTAACAGATGTTGAGTGCTTACTTTGTTGCAGGGATTATCTTAGGTACATGATGCCACCCGTCTTCACCACAACACAAGGACATAGGTATGATGATCATTTCCATGTAACGGAGGAGAAAAGTCACACAGCCAGTGCAGGCTGGAGCTGTGACATCAGCCACGACACTGCAGTCCCAGAGTCCATTGGCCTAGACACGAGATTGGGGTGTCTTCTCTGACGATGTTCTTCCTGTCTTAGGAAACTCTTAGCGAGTCCTTACTCTCCCGTTCGCATTTGCCATGGTCAATAAAAAGCAACATTCCCTCATTTCAGAGACATTACAATGCACTTAAAGAGGATGCAGCTTCTTTTTCCCGTGCCAACTGCCAGCCCTGCCTTTCAAATGATGTGTTTTGTTGAGTTCTACTGGACCTTTGAGACTTTCTGTTAACCATCTCAGATAGTTTTAGAAATGATCCAGGAGGTAAAAGCATCAACTGGAAATTGATTCTTGCCATCTTTGTGTTCAGAAGTCTATCATTTCCTGACCCAGTGCCCAAATTCTAGGTCTGCTCACTCTTTGGAACTTGAGTCCTTTTGTACTTGTCGTGGGACGGAGAGCCCCCTGTGTGTCCTCTGGGACAGACACCTTGCTGGACATTCGGACACTACCCTCAGGGGACTGACAGTCTAAATATCTAAGGAGATGAGGTTGCCTGCTACTCCACCATGACTGGGGCAAAGTTTCTACTATGAAAGCTTGTCCTCTTTACAGAACAGGGAGAATCACGTGTTGGCAAACTTGAACCTTTCAGGAAACCAGCCCCTAACAGTGTCTGGCAGAACGTAGGTGTGCATAATTTATTTTAACAAGTTATATTTGTGAAATCGTTCCCCCCAAATATCTTCATTGAATTTAAGAACGACTCAGGTGATATCTTTAAGGTACAAAAACAACTGAAAATTTTTTTTAAAGAGGGAAAAAGTGTCAATGAGGAGAAAATAAGAAAAATCATAATCTGCTCTTTCATATCTCCTGCTGTCCTGAAAAAGCCGCCATTTGTCGTATAAGTGTGTCTCTCTCCTCTGACTCCATCTAGGCTTTTCTCCCCCAAAACAACCCAGGAGGCATGAGCAATGTGTTTTAATGCTGTGGGAGATATCGCATTGGCACACGTGGTGGAATCCCCCACTAGGCACTCATATCAATAAATGCACATTTTTAATTGACATCATAAAAAAAAAGAGAGAGAGAAAGGAAAGTGTGGGGGTGTGAGGGGGAGAAGGAAAAAAAAAACAGAAATGAAATTTCTCTCCTCACTATTTATTTATTGATTTTGAGAGAGAGAGAGAGAGAGAGAGAGAGAGAAACAACATCAATGGATTCCTCATGCACCTGCCCAACTGGGGATCTAACCTGCAACCTGGGTATGTGTCCTGACTTGGAATTGAGCCCACCACCTTCTGGTGTACAGGATGACGCTCCAACCAACTGAGCCACACCGGCCAGGGCTCCTCACTGTTTAAAAGGCACTCATCACCAAAATCCTTGCTGAGATCCCACCTCAGGCACTACTGCAAGCGCCCCTAGCCTACCCCTCCCTCCGCTTCCCAATGGCTATGCACCGCAGGCCCTGGCTGCTCTCTGGGCTCTGACCTGCCTTTGAGCCCTGTCAATCCAGAAATCTTCACACTTTTGAGTCAAAGGGAGAGAAAATCCATTCTGTCTTGTCTGAGGGACGGGACTGACCTCAGATTTCCTCGGCTACTTGTGCCCGGGAGCCAGTCAGCCAAGACAAAAGGCACAGGGCTCATGCCTGGCGCTCATGCCCGCGATGCCCATAGATCTTCAGCCTCTTCAGCGCCAGTGGCTCTTTTGTGACCTGGGATGAGACCCTCCTGGATAAACTCCTGCATGGCCTGTATCAGCGGCTGGATGACCTGGAGACAGTTTGGAGTAGGAAAAGGCGGTGAAACAGTCCCCCTGGGAGCTCTAACCTGGCTGTGAAGAGGGACTTCCGAGGAATCAGCCTGTATCTGAAAGAGAAAAAATACCCCTGGTGTGGCTGCGAGGTCGGCGGGGTGGAAATCAGAGGGCGCGTGCTCTTCTGTAAGGAGCTCACAGGAAAACTCAGGAAATAGGAAGATACTGAGTCTGAAAACTGTTCATTTCGCCATCTACACGGCCCCTTTCTAAGACTCAAAGTGCAATCTTCATCTCTGTTTTTATAACAGATGAAAAAGAAGAAACAGCAACTGTGTAAGATTACTATACTTTTATATTAAATGTTGTAAGTTATAATGAGTCATTTAAAACAGACGGGAACAATCCATTTGCTATTCCTGAAAAAAAAGACCCACTTTTATAATTTTTATTTAAATGATTTGAAATATTTATGCTGTTCATAGTATTTAAATACGAATTGCCATAAGATACTTGTTTAGTATTATATTTTGTACGAGATTACTGTTCCTATCTTAGTTATGGTAAATACAAGCAATTAAAAACACACCCCCCTATTTTGTTTGATTGAATGAGGTTCCCTTAGATACAGCTTAGGGGGGAAGGGACATCTGTGGAGGGAGGGCCAGGACCTTGCCTGCTCGGTGCCTGAAACAACTGGAGATGATTCAAGGTGAAGCGGGGAACGAGCAGATGTGAGTATCTGTTCCTGCTGCTGCTGTTGGGAGCTGTGCACGTATCAGTCAGTAAATAGTTACTCATCTCTGATTTTGCTGTAGTAATTACATAAAGGCATTCAGCAGCCTCTTGATCTTTGGTTAATGCCTCTACATTTCAGGAGCTGGGGAGACAAATACGCAGAGGAACTGATTGAGAACGTACAGTGTCTCAACAACCACAGGACAAGACTTTGGGCCTGGGTGGCGATAACAGTCTTGCAGAGACAACAACAACAAAAAAAACCTAATTTAAAAATGGGCACAGGACTCGGACAGACATTTCTCCAAAGAAGATATGCAATGGCCAACAAGGCCATGGAAAGATACTCAACAACACTATTCATTAGGAAAATGCAAATCAAAACCACAATAAGGTACCACCTCACACTCATGAGAATGGCTGCTATAGAAAAAGTGTTGGCAATCTAACTGGTTTGGCTCAGTTGATAGAGCATCGGCCTGTGGACTTAAGGGTCCCAGTTTCGATTCTGGTCAGGGGCGTGTACCTTGGTTGCAACACATCCCCAGTAGGGACTGTGCAGGAGGCAGCTGATCGATGTTTCTCTCTCATCGATGTTTCTAACTCTCTATCCCTCTCCCTTCCTCTCTGTAAAAAATCAATAAAATATATATATTTTTAACAAAGTGTTGGCGAGGATGTAGATATATTGGAACCCATGTGCACCGTTGGTGAGAATGAAAAATGGTACAGCTGCTATGGAAAAAAGTATGGTAGTTCCTCAAAAAACTAAAAATAGATTTACCATACAATTCAGCAACTCTGCTTCTGGGTATATACCCAAAAGAAGTGAAAGCAGGGTCTCAAAGAGATATGTGGACACTCATATTCATAGCAGCCTTACTCACAACAGCCACAAGGTAGAAACAGACCAAGTGTCTATTGATAGATGAATGGATAAGTAAAATGTGGTGTAACCATGCAATGGAATATTATTCAGTGTTAAAAGGAAGGAAACTTGGGGGTGTTAAGTATAGCATTGAGAATATAGTCAATAACATTGTAATAATTATTTATGGTGTCAGAAGTGTAGTCACTGGAGTTATCAGGGTGATCGCATCAGGTTATATAACTGTCTAATCACTATGTTGTATGACTCAAATGAATATTATATGTCAACTGTAATTAAAAAGTTTTAAAAATAAAATAATAGTAAAAAAAAGAATGAAATTCACCACGTTATAAAATGTTTGTTCCTTGAGTATATTATGCTAACTGAAATAAGACCAAAAGACAAATACTGCATGATTTCAATTAGATGAGGTATCTGGAGTAGTCAGATTCATAGGTACAGAATGATGGTTGCCACAGGCTTGGGGGAGGAGAGGTTGGGGGTTTGTTTAAAGGGTATAGAGTTGCAGTTTTGCAAGATGAAAAGAGCTCTGGAGATTGGTTGTGCAATGTGAATATAGTTAACACTGTTGAACTGTACACTTAAAGATGGTTAAGATGGTAAATTTTATGCCTGTGTATTTTAGCACACTTAAAATAAAATAAAAATTGAAATCTTGCATGAACAGCCAAAAATCATATCATTATGGGTAAGGACATGGGATTGTTTAAATTCTGGCTTTCTGCGGATTAACTGAATGACCTTGGGAAATATGCTTAACCTTTTGAGCAGCTTCAGTTTTCTTCTCTGCAAAATGAGAATGTTAATACCTTCCCTGAAGTGTCTTTAAATGAGATAATGTATCTACTATAGAATAATACTTAGCACCTAACATGGATTGTAATTATTGTAATTATTAAAACTTAGGAAAGTTTATTGAAATTGTCAACCAGGTCCTTGGTGATTATGAAGTGGGTAATGTCAGTAACAAGTTAGTGATAGACTGGGTCCTATTCAGTGAGAAATGTGAAGGCAGTATTAAGAAAATTATTTCATCACGATGAACACACACATACACACACACACACACACACACACACACACAACTAAACCAGGGACTCATGGAAACTTCTAAGATTACTAGTGGCCTGGTGCACAAAATTCATGCACATTAAAAGGGAATTAGAGGAAATATTTTAATATTGCTATTTGCCCTTTCTCTATAATAGAAGTGTCAGAGATTAAAGAAAATTAGTAAAATTTATATGAAAATCTTCCTCCTGTCAGAGTCAGGGCACGCCACAGGACCAGGGTCAAGTCCCCGCCCACCCGCACGCACTTTGAAATCACAGGAGACTCAGACCCGGCTGGCCCCACCCGCATTGGGCAAGAACCAGACCTGGCCAGCCCCACCCCCGGCAAGCCCCGCCAGGCTTGGGGGCACTTCCTGAGGTCACCCCAACCAGCACCGGGGTGGGGAGTATAGCCTGAGGTCCCCCGATCCGGCCAGGCGCCATGCAGCCTCAGGTCCCTGCTGATCATTTGTTATGTGACCATTTGCATATTAGCCTTTTATTATGATGATGAGCTCTCATCATTCTTTTCTTGCTCTAACTTATTGTAGCTCCTTGCATGTACGTTTATCAGGCACTACCTAGTGCTGTTAATAAATATTTCATTTTGAAAATCTACATCAAGGAGAAAAATATTTTTTATTTTTTAACATTTTTTTATTGTTTAAAGTATTACATATGTCTCCTTTTTTCCTCCATTGACCTCTCCCTGGCCACCCCCAACCCCCAGCACATGCCCTTCACCCCCTAGTGTTTGTGTCCATTGATTATGCTTATATGCATGAATACAAGTCCTTTGGTTGATCTCTTCCAACTCCTCCCCACCTTCCCCTCCAGCCTCCTTCCCTCTGGAGTTTGACATCTGTTTGATGCGTCTCTGTCTCTGAATCTATTTTTGTTCATCAGTTTATGTTGTTCATTATATTCCACAAATGAGTGAGATCATGTGATATTTATTTTTCTCTGACTGGCTTATTTCACTTAGCAGGATGCTCTCCAGGTCCATCCATGCTGTTGTGAATGGTAAGAGTTCTTTCTTTTTTACGGCAGTGTAGTATTCCATTGTGTAGATGTATCACTGTTTTTTAATCCACTCATCTGCTGATGGGCACATAGGCTCTCTCCAAATCTTAGCTATTATAAATTGTGCTGCTATGAACATAGGGGTGCATATGTCCTTTTTGATTGGTATTTTTGAGATCTTGGGATATATTTCTAGAAGTGGGATTACTGGGCCAAATGGAAGTTCCATTTTTAATTTTTTTGAGGAAACTCCTTACTGTTTTCCACAGTGGCTGCACAAGTTTGCATTCCTACCAGCAGTGAACGAGGGTTCCTTTTTCTCCACATCCTCTCCAGCACTTGTTGTTTGTCGATTTGTTGATGATAGCCATCCTGACAGGTGTGAGATGGTACCTCATTGTCGTTTTGATTTGCATCTCTCAGATGACGAGTGACTTTGAGCATGTTTTCATATGTAAGTATTCTCAGCTCCTTCTTTACCCCGGTTTGTGTCTCTCAGTGATCAGTGTTGGGTTCACTGGAGTTCAGGATGAAGACACAAAACTGAAGTTACTCATTGGATAAAAAAGTCAACCAACCGTTCAGAAGGTGGCAAGTAGAGCAAGGCGGGCTGGGGTTTGCAGGGAGACAGATAAGAGAGATATGAGGATGAGTGGCTGCCATGATAAGTGTGACTTTAAAGAACTAAAGAGGATTTCTGAAATTTACTTACATTTACAAAATACGCTTGAATATTTATTGCCATTGTTAAATTTCCAAAAAATTTGTATAAGGGAAAAGCCCACCCTTGACCTATTGGGAGATCCACCCCAACCCCACATTGCTAATACCTAGTGTGTATCATCCTTCTCTATGTATTTAGTAAATCTATACATAATAAATACTTGGCATAAATCATACAAATATTATTCCATATATATCAATCTCTGATATGTTTTTTTACTTAATAGATCTTAGAGATTTTCCTCTATTAGTATGTAAAAATTTACTGCATTCTTTTTAATTGCTGTATTGTATATTAATGTGAGACAACTCCTTGCAATTTGACAGACAGATGCTCGTCAAAGCATAGTATTTATTCAATAAGTAATACTTAAGTTCCTACCATGGGGTAGACATGGTGCTAATGGCTGGAGATACAAAGTTCAGACTCAAAAAGTCTCATCTTCAGGAAGAGTCAGAATAAATAAACCATCAACTACAGAACAGAATGATAAGTCTTCTAATAGAAGTGCTATATTTGCAAAGAGCCATTGGCATGGCAGGGTCAGGGGGAGGGCAAGGGGGTATAAAATGGAGAGTCATCATCAAATAATTGATACTTTGAGGCTGATAGGTGGGTATG